TGACACAATTATTTCATCTCCTGAGCCGCTCGAATTGCATCCATCGAGTTGAAGGCGAACTTGAATTCTCACTCCCGCTTTCGATCATTCAACCATTTCAGAGGTGCTGAATTCTAACGTTTGCAACGTATCTCAAAGTCAAAATCAAAATATTTTTCTGCGGGGAGGATCGAGTAAAAGTTATTGAGCTTTTCTCATCGAAGGTCGTTCAAAAAAACGACTTATAAAAATTCGAATGTTGCCAATCTTCCCATGATAAAATATTTACATTTGCGGAAACAATCAATTTAAATTCCGAAAAAACTCATGAACAGCCAAAGAGGAAAATATGGAAAATTTTCCTGAAAATTTGTATCTTACAATAAAGAAAATCTAGCAACGTCCAATACTGCCGTGCTGTGGAAAAACGCCGTATGAACATTCGGGGGTTGCCAAATTTCCTCGGATGAAATGTTTATTTTTGGGGAGAGTGATGAATTTTTTATCATGAAATTTTCAGATAATTAATATCTAATTACAAAGAAAATTCTCTGAAATATTAAACGGAAAATATTCATTAGTTTTCTGGAAAATTCATATTTACCTAATATATGGAAATTCGGGAACTGACGAAGGTTCATACGACGTTTTTTCCTTAGCACGGCAGAATCAGGGACTCGAAAATCAGAAAAGGCCGATTCCTTTGGAGTAATTTTTTGTTTGATTATGCTTATGCATGTCCGAACTAAAGCATTAAACCCTGTGTTTTTTTACATAGCAGCAAATACTAGTGAATGTGTGCGATTTCAAATCACCCTGTAACTTCTCGTTTCAGCCATCCCTGAGAACATGCATGGGCCCCGAAATCCCACTTTCGTTGGCTCGTTATGTCGGCAATGAATTGTTGCTACGACGCGAATGAGCGTACAGTTGGCTCATTGTATGAAGTAATGTTAGATAATCCGGATTAAGATAAGGCAAATCAAATAGTCACAAGAATGTGGTTTACTTTCATCTCTAAATCATAATCGGATCCAGCAAATCGGCAACATCGTCTTTCTCCATTTAAACCTATGAAAATGTATCGTTCTTGGAGGGGGCAGGTGCTCCGACAAGAATCGATATTTAACATAGATTTAAATGGAGAGAATCCCGTGTTGCCAAATTGCTGGATCCGCCTCTGCACTAAATTCAAGAAGCCGCGCAACGTTTTTTCACTTAAAATATTCTGATTTAATGAAACACAATTGAGCGTGAGAAGAGAGCTATATCTCTGGACGATAGTTGGACTAAATTTTGGAATAAGGAGCCACCATATTTTGTTCATTTTAGAAACAGCATATATGCCATTTGTCTCTCTATGCAGGCAGGTAGACACCTTTATGGATGAATCATAAATATATAGTGATTTTGTAAAATGAAGTTCAATTTTAGGGTTGGCTGATCGGTCGGAGCTTTAGCGACCCGTCCAAAAACTTCCATGGGAGACGAAGGTCATAAATTTCACGTGGAGGAAGGTGCTGAAATGTTCCGAAATCGCAGAAACTGACATTTTCAGGCCGTGGGAGACTCACGCTGTCATCCCTTTAACTAAGATGGTATTTTCTCAATCCGGGGATGACATTTTTAATTTGTATTTAATTCTTGGAAAACTTTACGAACTCGAAAATTTGCTACTTTTTTTCCTAGAATTGTTTTGAGGCTGACCGTCGAGTGTTTCCCTACCTAAAAGGGTAGCTACCTAAGGGTACCTAAAGGGTCGAGGGACCCGAAAGAAAAATCTGCATTACTGAGTAACGGCAATTTGATCTACTTTAGTCTTCACTTTAAAATATACAAATGCTGGTATTTCCTCATCTGAAAGTGATCATTGATCGATCGATTACTGATCTATTAGCGCGTTGCGTACTGATCACGCTTGCTCCATGCAGCGCTGGCTTTAATGAAATAATTACTGATCAAGAGATTTATTGTCCGGACGGGAAAAGTGACCACACTGGCATCGGTCCAACCTACAATCGTTCGAACAGCTGTTAGGATCGCCGCTCAGTGGATGCTTCATCTCGCGACCAAAATTGAACCATCGCGAGTCTGCTTTAAAAAAAAGGCTCCAACGTTATCACTGGTTCAGAGTAGTAGAGAATCGACATGAAAAGATGGAATAGTATAAGGGATAGATGAAAAGAAAGAAGAAGAGGAAGTGAAAAGAGAAGATGGGAAAAATTGAAGCGTAGAGTAAGAAATGAGAAAGAGTTAGAAAGGAAGGAGAGGAAGAAAAGAAGGAGGGAAAAAATCGAAGAAGAAAAAGCGAAGAAGGAGCAGAAGAAAAGAAGGAAAGGAAGAAAAGAAGGAGAGGAAGAAAAGAAGGAGAGGAAGGAAAGAAGGAGAGGAAGAAAAAAAGGCGGAGAAAGAAGAAGAGGAAGGAGAGGAGACGCCGCTGAAGAAGACGAGAGAAAAGAAGAGGAGGATACGGGAGAAGAAAACAGGTAGAAAGAGCCATCCTTTCCTTCCAGAGAGGAAAACCACATGAGCGTACCAAAACCCATAACTTGAAAAGATCGCGCTGAGAGTAAAAGCCGCAGATCATATTTTCTGATGGATTTCACTAAGCGTCATATTGACTGCGTAACTTGGGTCATAGTTACTTCGCGCAACCGACGCGACGTTCCTTCCAAAATTAGAGACAGCTGACGTCATAATGTTGATCAGTTTGGAGGAGGTAATAAAATGATACTGGACGCTTATGATACTGCAAAAAATGACAAAACCACGCAGTTTCGTCGGAAGAGGTCATATCCGTCAAAATATTTTATTACACGTCTGATTTATTCGAAACCGCATGTCTTATTTTCGATAATTCCTTGAATAATGATTCTTAATTTAAAAAAAAAAAAAAAAAAAAAAAAATCGGGATTATTGATAATCGTAAAAAAATACAGGTTTTAGAGAGGGCTCACTGTGCGTGGCGTCGCGACGCCGCTCGTGATCCAGTGCGCTCGCAACGACCTTGATCTTGAGCTTGAGCTAGAGTCGGCTCGGCGCCCGTCTTCCCGAGCGGTAAATTATCTCGCACAAACGCGGCGCATGACTGCATGACTGCATGCCTCATGCACTTCCAGTCAAGAGTGCACCGTGCACTCCCGTATCTATCACTGACCTATCACAATGACTAATAAAACAGCCACTCAGGGCATCGCTGATTTTTTTCGCGCCGGTCTCTGGTGCAGTCAAAACAACCAACTTCACTAGCGTGTTGAATTGCTGGCGTAGAATACTTAGGCAATAAAGCAACGCGACGTGAGTACGTGACATTAGGTTCTAGGCAATAGGTAATGGTTGACAAAGGGGACCAGGTGACTAAGAAAAAAAAAGGGGGAAAAAATCAGCTAGGTTAAGAATGGTTTGGGAGTTCGCCTTGACGGATTTTTCTCACATTTTTTCCCGCTAGAAATCAAAAATTTAAACCTCGTATAAAATACTAGGGGGCTACGCCCCCTGGCCGCTACGCGGCCCAACCCCCTGAAGGCGCTCCGCGCCATCAATGGCCGCTTCGCGGCCCTATTTTTACCCTCCTATCAGTGTTAATTTTATTTTTCCCCTAAAAAATTACGATATGAGGTATACTTTAATTTTAAACTTTACTTAAAATTACTTTGAAATTAAAAGGACGCGTTTTGGAATGACTGCTTGATGAAATATTGCAGCAAAACAACGAAGAACGATAGTCAGGTAATAAAGTAAGATTTCATGAGTCGGGGATCGAACCCACACCGAGTTCATAGAGGACGCACTCGACGTCTGAAACGACTCGGCCACCGCTCTACCTGAAATCGCCGGCGCGAATCTTGTGTAGATAAGTGTAGAGCTGTTGCGCAGGCTACACACAGCTACTGCGCAACCTCCTCGATCACTGCGCATCCTCCCGCGCATAGCGGTAGCAGTACCGGAGCATTCTGTAAACTCACTCACTTTTATAACGTGATTTTAAAAAAACCTGGGTCCTTTTCCCAAAATCTGATTACAGCGGGCTCATCTAGGGCCTATTACCTGTCGATTCACGCAAAAATCATGGAAATCGGCCCAGTAGAACGCTCAAACGAACTATGACAAAAAGTATAAATTTACATTGTTTAAATGGGAAAATTCGCAACTTTACCACGTAATATTAAAAAACCTGGACCATATTTTGAAAATCCGAAAAGAGTTGGCTTATCTAGAGACAATTGTCCGTCAATAGCCGCAAAAATCATAAAAATCGGCCCGGCAGAACGCTGGAACTAAGCGTTACCAGTTTCGCAAAATTAGGAGGTCTTGGAGCTTATAGTATAGAGATGCGAATAGATTTAGCCCAAATTGTGACCTGTCTGCATTACATGTAGCTCGATTTACTTTATTATTTTCTTCGTCGGACAACCAAGAAACATAATGCTGTGGAATATTTTCGGGGATGCGTAAAAGTATACTTGAATTTTTTTTTTTTAAAAAAAAAACAAAAAAAAATTATAAATAAAGTGACGAGTTTATGACAGTTAAGGTCATCCTGGTCTTAACAGTTCGATTAGAATTCAAAAATTTGCTTTTGTGCCCCATGGAGAATTAAGACTTCAAACATATTTCCTTCCGCTTCAAGTCGCCGATGGTGCCTTTTCGCCAAACAATTTTGAACCATTGGATGAATTATTTGAATAGGGAGAAGTAAAACTTAACTCGGAGCAGAAATAATGATTTTTAATCAAAATTGAAAAATGATGGACCACAGAGATAAGCGTTTTTGGGATTCTCGTCGATTGCCATCGAAGGGCATTTTTGTTACAATTAAAAAGGGTTTTTGACCCTCTGTTCATTGGACGTATTTCTGCCGAACGGAACTATGTGCATCACGACGTGAGCCCGAGGCTATGCATATATTCTTATGGGTCTCAGGGCTCATGTCTTGATGCACTTAGTTCCGTTTGGGAGAAATACGTCCAATTATTAAAGATTCGATCGGAGTAAGCGAGATTTTTCAGGGATGATCTTACCTGGAGTCTGACTTTTGCTGTGTCCAGAGGGAAGGTGATGAAGTCTGCAAAGCATGCGGCGGACCCCGCAGCGGCAACTTTGAAAGAGAGAGGTAATTCTTCAGGTACAACCATTGTTCTGTGTGAGTAGGAACCGCTTAATATAGATAAATTTCAATAAATAAATATCTGAAACAGAAGCGACGAGACACAATTAAGTACAGTTTAATAACTTTCTTTCAGAGTGAAATATGAAATAATGTAAAATTCAACTAAGGATGCTGGATGGGCAAACCAAATAAACACGGTTTGCAAAAGTGGTATACTTCCTATCATTTTTACTTAATGCTGACAAATTGAAATCGCGATTGTTTTCATTTCGTACGTATAATTGAGGGGCTTGAAAAACAAGGTGCATAAGTGCAGTTTTTGCAATTTCAAGATATACGTGTTCAAAGTTTCAAAATTACATGGAGCCTTATGGCAGGAAGGAAGTTTAAACTCACATTTGATGCTTTAAAGTTGGATTTCAGTTGTGAATTTTCAACGGAATATACTTTCGAACTATGATTTTAGTTAAGTTTATGAATATTTCAATTTTTTCAAAAATTGTCTTTTTTACGCCTTGTCCTCTAAGCCTCTCAATTATTCTTTAATCTATGAATGTCATGCTAAGTATCGTCGAGTCTAATAATAATACAAAACAAAACAAAACGAGGACAATTAACTTAAAATGCACGAATTCTAGTAAAAAGTCTAATAAAGTCACATATTTGTATTATATAATAATCGGCACGTGATGGATCATTTTTTCAACAAGGAAAATAATTAATTTTTTTTCCTACTCTTCAATAATGCACCCAAGGCGAAATAAACATTTCGCTTCGTATACAAGAACAAATAAAATCCAGTAAGTTCTTAGTTCTGTGCTACTTATTTTTCGTCTAATTTTTGCACTTAAATTCAGTAATAAGAAAAACAGACTTCTTTTTCTTTGATGGTTTCATAATTATTTGCTGACTTTTCACAAATAAAAAACTCAAAGATAAACATGAACACGATCGGAAACAACGTTTTCGACCCTACGAATCAAGAGGGGCAATGATTTGAAGATCAGTTCAATCGAACCTTTTCACCTCACCAAGAACCTCGCGCATGAGGGCAAGACATTCACACAACAGGAGGAAGCTCTGAGCCTTTAGGAATTTCACGAATCATACTAAACACATAAAAATGAGTGCGCGTTTCAGTGGCGTGGCATGCTTTGCGATATATCGATTGATCTGCCATTTAAACCTATGGCAAAGGATCGATAAACAAGGTGTTCGCAGCCTTTAAGAACACCTTAATAATCGATTCTTTACCATAGCTACAAATGAGGAAATATCGATAATCGATTATTCACGCCACGCCATTGGGCGCGTATAAACGCGCCCAGTGGCGCGTTAAAGTCTCCCGCATAAGCGGGAGACTTTAACGCGTGGGATTGCCTTTGCCGCTTCCCGCGAATCAAATTCTTTGCAAAAGCACGAACTCGATTTCCGACTTAAAACTGATATCTTTGCAACTTGTTTTGAGTTTTACATTCAATACTGCCGTGGTAAGGAAGAACGCCGCATGAACCCTCGAGAGTTGCCAAATTTCCCTCGATAAAACATGTATTTTTGACAACATTCATGCATATTTTTCCTTGAAATTTTCAGATATTTTAGATTAAATTGCGTAGAAAATTTTCTGAAAATTTTGGAAAATAATATTCGCAATTTTCCCAGTAAATTCGGGTTTTATCGGAGGTAACTTGGCAACGTCTAAAGGCTCATACGGCGTTTTTTCTTAGGACGGCAGAATAGAGCAGTGCTTTTACCAACTTCGGGATTAAGTCGAACAACAGAAAATGAACGGTTGGCAGGCGGATCGAGAGAGAAGTTTTTCGATCTTCGATCCAGATTCTTGAGCCGAACAGACTTAACTGCTCTTGAGTGCCCAAACTTGCTCGGTAGCTTTGACCCTAAGTTACTTTATTTCGGTTTGTTATGCAGTGCTTTCAAAAACCTGTTCGACGGTTAGAAACTCCTTGCTGCCAACTCTTTGGGGCTGAATGAAGAACACATGCATGAGACTAAAATGAAAGAGCGTTCCGCTTTAGAAACAGAATATTGCCTTGATAGAAATTCTGCAATTTCATTTGCTCCATGTAAAGAAGCATAAAGTAACTTTTAAGATTAATTTAATAAGTTATTTATATGTAGCCATTGTTTTGGTTTTGCACATGAATCGGTCAGTGAATTATAATGCCATGCTAAGGAAGAATGCCGTATGTACATTTGAGAGCAGCCAAATTCACCCAGATAAACAATGAATTTTATAGGAAAGTTGTGCATAGTTTTCCTTGAAATTTTGTGATATTTTAGATTATAGTCCGCATAAAATTGTCTGAAAAATTTAAAGAAAAATATCCAACAGTTTTCTTGAAAATTCGTATTTTATCGGAGGAAATTTGGCAACACCTGATGGCTCATATGGCGTTCTTCCTCGGCACAGCAGTTTAAAACACATCATGCCCAAAATAGTGGAAAAAGTCCACCAGCTTGGCAATATCGCGTCTAGGTTTAATATGTTAATAGTGAGCATGCATAAATATCAGAGTTTTGAAATAAGTAAAGTATATGCTCAGAACTAGAGCTACTTTACTGTATCGGTAGAATATAAAAAAGTAAATCAGAGAGCGCAACAAATTATCAAAACTGGATTGAGAGGCGATGAACGTCATCGCTCAAGAGAGCAGACACGCATGTTAATAGTGCAGCAAAGTGCGGCTTTCAAAATTATATCGAATAGAGAGGAGACGAAAAAAATCAAACATATTTGAAGTGGGAAATAAATTAAGTCCTCTCTCACGTTGTATAATCACGCTTCGAGGATTCATGATACTCAGACTCTTCAGCATCCTTCGAAAATGAGCCACGCGTATTCTTTCTGATTTGAAGTACTTGTCAGACACTCAACTTTGAGCTTGCGAACTTTGGAGGAGGTCTTTCACGTGCGCTCATGAAAATGAGTGGGTGGGTAATTAAATTATTCGTCAAGTAAACTCACTTAAAATGTTCTATTAAGTCACTGCACGGCGTAATAAATTGATATACTGAAAATTAAGCTATTTACTTGACAAATTTTCTGTACAAATCAATGTTTAAGATATTATTAACCAAATTTACCTAACTTATCACGTATTCAGTCAAATTTTTCCGACTTAAAAAACTACCTTTTTCATTTGAAATTGATGTTATTTTAAATAGATGGTAGATTTATGAGCATGGTCGAGTATGAATAATTTATTATGTGGAAAGCTCACCTAATTTTATTTTTTTACCGGATGGTTTTTAGGCATTTGGAAACAGGAATTGCAGAGGGATTCGTTGCAATTTGTTTTTAGATAAGACAATTATAGGTCATTCAGGAAAACTTTGCATAATTTTATTTGGATCTAGATTTTATAATTTTTACCCCCTTCCCTCATCAAAAGCCCTGCTCTGCCAATTTAAAAGGTTCTACCAAATTAGTAAAATTTTGTTACAATTGGGAAAAATAAGTTTAAAGTATTGAAATCAATCGTTTCAAATCGAAATAAAAAACCTCAAAAAACCTCTTAAAAAGAAACCCCGCCAAAAATATTTCGATTTCCTGGTATAGTTCTCATTTGATGAACAAAAACTATTCATCATCGTTAAGAAAGAAAAAATCATTGCCTTAAAATTTAGGTAAATAAACGATACAATTTTTTCAGTTAACAGGAACTCGCAGGAAAAAACGAACTTTTATAAATATTACGCAAAATTCTTGTGCCGAAAAAAAAAACCATGAGTGGATTGATAAGGACATCTTTCAGACTGTCCTAAACGATCGAATAAATATTGAGATGCGGATCCATGTGAGGAAAATCATTCTTCAGGAGCGTGCTAGACAGGTGATTATCGGGTGGCAATACTCGAGTCTCTCAAAAAATTTAAATTGCCTCGAATCCTTATGTAAATTACACGTAAAACGAGGGAAGGACCGGCACACTCAGAATCAGACGCAAGTGACAGTAAGAGTACACCGGGTTGCCAGGAATTCCATTAAATGTGAATATTTTACATGGGTTTAAAATGGGGAAAACTGCTGATTTCTCAGCAAAATTTGGCAATGTCCACCGATAAAACAACTGCGAAGCACGTTTTAAGAGACGAAGAAACAGAAGCTTGATGGGGACTTTTCTTCTTCTTTTTTTATGGTTGTTAAAAAGTTTTAGAGGGGACATTGCGAGTCTGATAGTGATCGAGAATGGCAGGTGTGTCTATGAATGTGACGAACCTCCCGTCTGCCGCTAGGCTATTATTACTATACAACAAAAAAATGCGTAACTGCGCAAAACGCTGATGGCCTAGGTTGTTACGAGTATATTTCGCTTGCATGCTGTATCGAGAAAGTATCATTTACCTAAAAAATAATTTAAATTTTTCTGAACGTCTTCAGTATAAAAATAGATAATTGAATTAATTAATTTCGAGCGAGAGGGCGGTCTGTTAAGACTTTCATTTGATAAGAATTATTTAAGTGGTCAGTTTTTTTTTTAAATGCTAGTAACTCGAGGTTTGAAAGAAGGGGTCCTTTAGGTGCGACAGTGGTCAACAACAAATAGGTCGCGTTTGATTGGAAGGAACCAATTTCGGTGTTTAATACGAACTCTTTTTAAATTTTGAACTGCTAATCAGCTCTCAGCAAGGGACAAATCGTTTGTCTTTCAGACCCCGACCTACTATCAAATTATCGCAAGCAAATGGGGCATTCAAGAATTGTTGCTCTCTATCTATCAACAAAACTCAGCAGACCATCATTTGTTCATACACTTTAAGACTGATCATCAAGTCATCAATGATCTCTGGAAGCATCCATGGCAACGATTTCTGCCCTGCATGGAATATACAGTTGAAATACCCAACCAGCATAAGACTCACTTTTTATATGACCTCTTGGTTCCCCGCATGCATTTATACCAATTCTGCCATCCTCAAGATGATAAGCGTTTTGAATAGAACAAGGACATCAATGAACGAGGAAGTAACAGATACGTGTTTAAGTCGGACACCTTGACCCTTCCAATTTTAGAGGATAGATATAGAAATTCGAAGATTCAGAAATGCATCACTTCGTTCGACTCCAAATTCAAATGTATTTTAAATTTGCCTTAAATTATGCCGACTCACTGGTTGGAATTCCTTTACGCTCTAAGTCGCACTTCAGAAATTACGTCGTGAGGGCTGACAGCCAAGGATATCCATTATTTTACCATTGATCTAATTTTTAGCTTCAGCACAAGCTGACCTAGGTCAACAAGTATCGACCCACGTTAAGAAAAATTAAAAAATATAGCCCCGTAGGAACCATGAACTTTTTTATGCGTTTTTTGACAAGTTAGAGGAGATAACGTTATAATAATAGGGGAATAACTTAGAAAGATGATCAAGTCAGTTTCATTTTAATGACACAAAATGAATGCCAAATTGCTGAGGTATATGATGGATAGTGAGCGTAAATCCTACATTGCTATCCGCGTTGATTTTTATAGCAACTCTAACCATTAATGTTCGGACTTCCATAAAAATTAGGTTTTCAGGAAATAAAATGAAAAAGTAAGTAGCGAATATTGAACCGTTTTTTACGAAGACCGAACTGGAAAAAAGTCTCTTGGATCCAGAGTCCAGACTCATAAAACAATTGACAAGAAACAATACTCTTGATTCAATTGGATTTTTGTTTGAATCAAAAGGAAATCGGCTTAAATTGAGGGGCTTATCTCTCGATTCAAGCAAAATCCAATTAAATCAAGAGTATTTTTATTTGTCGAATGTTTTCTGAGTCCGGACTCCACACTGAAAAAAAAAATCGGTCGTATGTACCGAATTTCGGGGTTCCATACCATCGCACTAATTTGGTTCGTCAAACTGAATTTTCGGTTCGTCAAACCGAATTTTCGGTTCGTGTAACCAAATTTGTGCGGTAAAGTGAACCAACGAACAAAGTTTGGTCATCTATGCTGAACGCTCGGTTACACGAACCGAAAGTTCAGTTTGACCGGTTCAGTGGCGTGGCGTGAATTGCGATACATCGATTGTTATGCCATTTAAACCTATGTAAAAGGATCGATAAACAGGGTGTTCGCAGCGAACAACTTAATACTCGATTCTTTACCATAGGTTTAAATGGCATAACAATCGATACATCGCAATTCACGCCACGCCACTGCATCACATCCAAAAGATTTTTTTGCCAGTGCGTAAAGATTCTGTTCAGGACAAAATATTCCATCTGAAATAAACTCGTCTCGTAATCCTGTGGCAGTTCTTTCAAAACACGATGGACAAACACAGCGACGCATTATAGCCAGACAACGTATGCGTGCCTTGGCATCGAAAACACAAAAAAATCCCAGAAACCTGACGTCATTTTCGTTGCAATTTTATTTACCAATGACCAAAACATCCGGAACAAAGCTTCTCGCATCGAAAAATGCGAAAAATATCGCGAACGACCGAAGATTACTCGTTCAACTTGGCGCAGAAATCGAACGGAACCATGCTGATGCCGGTTTATCGTTTATGCGTCTCTCTTCCTCAACGACGGTTTTACTATTAGTCAGCGTAATCACACACATACCTGCTGGAAGCGTGCGAAATGCATAAATCCGCGAGTCTGTTTACGAAGAGTCGCTTTAATTTGAAGCGTTCCAACGCTTCTTTTTTTATTCTACCGTGCTATGGAAGAACGCCGTATGAGCCTCCGGACATTGCCAAATATCCTTGGATAAAATACGAATATGACAAGGACTTGCGACTATTTTCGCCCAATTTTTAGGAGACTTCAATTCGCAATTTGATCTGAAGTATGTGAAAATTTCAAGATAAAATATTTATACCTCGCCTCAGAATTGGCTAATTTTTGAGAAGGCATTTTGCAACGTCTGAATGCTCATATGACGTTTCTTCTTAGGACAACAGAACTGTCCTCGACTCGGATTCTCTGCTGCGCAGAAATCAAACGCTCTTATCGTCGTCCTCCTGACATAAGGGCGTAACTACACTGGGCGATGAGCCGATGAACCCTGACGTCCATATAAATCAATGCTTTCCTGGGCTCATCTCTAGGTGTAGTTACGCTCTTATGTCAGCCAAGCGACGTTATTTTTAACGATAGCTATCCTGTTGTGCATATGAGATGGGAATGAATCGCGAAGTCACTACATTTCGCTGTAAATACGCGCGCAGCACAAAGTAGACTCAATCCTCAATTCGAAAATAAAATTGGTTCTCTCCACAATTTTCTTTTAAATCATAAAGCTCCGCAGTTCTCTTTAGATAAAACGCGTGCATTAATGGCCAATTTAGAACTTATTTTTCTTCCCTTTTTGCAGTTTTTCAAACTCGGTTAACAATTTTATACCCGCAATTATAAGTTAAGATTGCAAGTCAGAAACGCGTTGGCATGCTGAATGTCGCACAGTGGATCGAGTCAATTAGAGAGATCGGACATGAAATTCTTGACTAAAACTGCAAATTTTGATGTTTATTTTGTCACATTTTAAATTTCAAGGGGTGCTTCTGGCAGAAAATTTTACGAGAAAACCAATGAAGCCACTTTTAGAGCCTCAAAATTTGTTTAAACGGAGTTAGAAGTTTTTAAAGTTTCCAAATTTTGTCCGGTCTCTCCCATTGACTCGATCCACTGTGTGTCGTCTCCCAGGGTAACTTTCGCACCCCTGAACCATCTGCCAAGTGCCTAACCCTTGAACAATGAACCCGTGCTTCAATATCATCCTATATAGAACATTTTGCACGTCACACCGGCAAGTTGGGGATGTTTCTCTCCAAGTTCTCAAAATGTTGGATACTCTTCTCTAAGCTCCATTGGTGCGTTTCTGGACGCTCAATGTACCTAGATTTGTGTGTTATTTTCGAAGCTTTCAAAGCTTGTAACTTTCTTAATATTCATTTCCGACACTTGAAATTTCACAGTTATCTTCCTCTATTAGTGCCCTAACTACCCTCCGAATTTCATCCCGAAATTCAGCAGCCCATATACTAAAGAATTTCGTAGGTGTTTTTCCTGACTATTTTGATGATATGTGAAAATACGTGCAAGTCCTAATATCTTTGATAAGTTAATGCTTGAGATGTTTAACTTTTGACCCCACCGTTTACGGTATTTTTGCTGTGAAGAAAAAGAAAGGAGATCTCCGGCACCAGTCACGTGTTGTTGCTCTTTTCATGGTTCAAGCCTGTAGTTTCCTAGAATTATATCGCACTTACTCAAAATTGCCTTAGAAAAGTACGCAAGTAAACTGTAAAGTATATCTCAGACTTATTTGTGTGACTTGGAGCACGGGAAAAAAAAACACATTAGATCTATAGTCCAGACTCTTAGGTAAAAACATCGACGAGAAAAAGTGCTCTTGATTCAATAAGAATCTAGCTTAAATCAAGAACCAAGCCTCTTAGCGGACTTTAAGCGGATTTCGTTTTGATTCAAGCAAAAATCCGATTGAATCAAGAGTATTTTTTCTTGTCAATGTTTTCAAGAGTCCGGACTCTAGATCCAATGTGTTTTTTTTCCAGTGAAGGACTCGGAATCAGAGATGAGGCAGTGATATTTTTCTTACGAACGCATAACGGTCGAAAGTTGCGCGACAAATTCAAAAGAGGACAATTATTTTAAAAATGTTAAAAACTGGCACTCGATAAAACTATCGAAAATTATTTTGAAAAAAAAAAACAGGGCGAAAGCGAATAGAAAAAATCTTTACCTGATAATCAGTTTGACTCCCGCGAGTCTCGTCGAGATGCAGGATAAAATTTCGATCAATTAAAAAAAAAACCGGTTAAAATAAACTATAGAATCTATAACACGCGCAAATATAACCCGTACGATAAAATATATAAAACACGTTAACAGTGAATAAAACTATGAGTAAAATCCGAAACTTATCACAGGTCAAACAAAAAAGGATAAAAAAATCAGGCTAAAATCGAGTATCAGCTGTCCGCAGCTTGTTTCATTGAACTGACCGTGGGTCACCGTCGCATCCGCGGGAAATCGGGGGTCACGTGACGACGCGGGAAAAGTTCGGGAAAGTTCGTCACATTCCAGACCCGAACTCGAAAATCACGAAAACACGGTTATCTCGGACGAATTTCGGGCTCATGCACTCGTGTGACATCTGACAACTGAACGGAACGACTCGACTGATGAGCGCGCTTCGGGCGCGATAGCTTTTGTAGCAGTTTCGGTGTTTACCGCGCGTCAACACGGTGCGAAGATTATCGGAGCAACGTTGTCGGATTTCCTCATTGCTGGTCGATGATAACGGGGATTTGCGAGAGGTGTCGGTTAATTTGGCTGCCGAAAGGACTGCCACCTACTCGGGGCGTTGGTGGTGGCCGAGTTGAAATTTTCCCCGCGCGCGGCGAGGGGTTGGTGGGAATTTTCCCCGGGGAATGAAATTTGCGCGGTCCGCCTCTATGCAGTTATGGGCTCTTGGCATGCCACGCACTGGAATAAAAAACACATTGGATCTAGAGTCCAGACTCTTGAAAACATCGACAAGAAAAAGTACTCTTGATTCAATCAGAATCTAGCTTAAATCAAGAACCAAGCCCCTTAATTTGAGCGGATTTCCTTCTGATTTAAGATTAAATTTGATTGAATCAAGAGTATTTTCTCTTGTCGATGTTTTCAAGAGTCTGGACTCTAGATCCAATGTGTTTTTTTTTTCCAGTGTGCCACGGTGTAACACTGCCGTGCTAAGGAAGAACGCCGTATGAACATTCGAGAGCTGCCAAATCTCCGCGGATAAAATGTTCATTCTAGAGGAAACTTGAGAATATTTTTTCTTGGAATTTTCAGAAACTTTAGATCAAATTATAAAAAAATTATCTGATTCAAAAATTTTCCTGAAAATCAGTGATTTGCCAGAGGAAAGGGGTGGGTGCAAAATCGACAAAATTTCCCCCCTCATGGATGTTGACCAAATTTCAGTATGTCATTCCTCACTATGGGATACGCCTTTTCCCAAAATTTCACGGCCTGAAACGAATTTCTCTCCGCGTAGCAGCGTTGCCAAGTTGAGAACCGTCGAGTTCCATATCTTTTGAACGAAAAGAGATATTGAGATGCGGTTTGCGCTAAAATTCTCTAAAAATTGCGTTCTTTTGATATATGTACTCAATTTGATCGTTTAGGTAATTTAAGATTGCAATGATGCCATTTTTCACACTTTCTTAAGGGTCAATTTTTTTTCAACCCTAGTACATCATCAAATGCCGGATTCTCGATTCGAAAAAAAAACTGTTCATTGTATTATTCGT